TCGATTCTACTTAACTTTACATTTTGGTGTCACGTTCCTGTCTGAGTTTGGTTAGTTTAATTTATACAGATCTCGCCACAGTGATTTTCCAATAATTTTGACTCACACTGTATATATATATATATATAATATAAATTTATAATAAAATGAATTAAATTATTAATATTTTTTTTTCAAATGCAATTTCATATATTATAGAAATTTTCATAACTATTTATCAAATATCAAGAAATATTATTTAAAAGTTTTGTGAAAAGAATATATCTTAAATTATAGGCTGATTAATTAACAATACAATTTAAATCCTATAAAAATTCACAGAATATCATAAAAAATAAATAATAAGACTTATATTTAAAAACTTGAATAATAAATACAATGAGAATGAAAAATTATTTTTTAAATTTTCTTGATTGAATTAGCAAAATCATAGTAATTGCATACCATATTGAAAATATTTTACTTACAAGATATCAGTTTTTGGCTATTCTCTTTCGTGTGTTTAAAAAACGGCTGCAAAATTATAGTTTCAAAAGCAATTTTCTCACACTAAATTTAAAATTTCTTTAATTTGGTTTAAATTTAGTTTAAATCAAATTAAAAATTTTAATATTAGGTTTATTATTTACTGTATCTATAATGATGCAAAAAAATTTTGCAAAATACGAATATTGATACTGTATTATAAAAGGAAAAATCACATGGGTTATGGGGGAAATTATTAAAATGGTGTACTTGATCTTAGTTTTGATCACGTATTAGTAACCAAAGCTTTTTTAAAAAAGTGTATTTGCAATAGAGAAAAAGAATTCTTGCATAAGCAAAAAGTCAATCTTACACGCCTCAAGCAGAAATAAAGGAAACCCACATTAACGTTACGCGAGTGCTGGTGCTGTGAAGCGACAGACTTACCGATTAACCGTTAACAATATAATTGTGAGATTAATTGCCTTTACTTTGCATATTGCAAAAATTTTAGTAGAAAAAAAAAATCATTGAAGTATAAAACAATCTTGTCTTCTTTAAAGGCCTTCATTAATCAACGTCACCAATAGCTGCATTAATCTCGTTAAGCATTTTGAGAGCTCTTGGTTGATTCTTTAATGCGGCCAATTCTAAATACAATTTTGCTTTCTTTTTATCTTGTTTTATGTTGCACTTCCCATGATAATAAATATCACCCAAGTTAAACATTGCCGTCGCATTACTATTGTTCGCAGATTTTATTAAATATTCGACAAACTCATCGTAACATTTGGCTTGAAGTTTGATGAATGCATAACGTAGCTGAGCATTGGAATTGTTTTCATCAGCAGCTTCTTTGAAAAGTTCGATGGCTTTGGGAATATTTTTTTCACCAGCATAACCTTCCAGAAGATAGACTCCCTTCCAGTATTTCGCAACTGGATCACCCAATTCGGCATGAATCTTGAAGACACTCAAGGCAGTACTGAAGTCCTTGAGCTTGTGAGCCTTTATGCCCTCCTCTAACAGAGGAATTGATATATATTCCAAATTATAATCATCTCCAATCTCATAGTCATCGATTTTATCATTATTGCTACTGTCAAAGCTTTGCGGTAGTTCTAATTGCGACTTAATATCATCAGAGGCATGGGCGGGGTATAGTTTGGGTGAACATTTTGCAAGAACGTCCTGTAGGTCAAGTAAAATATCACTGATCTTTGGTCTTAATGTTGGTACTCCGTTCCAGGCTTCAATTAAAGAGAGAGTGAAAAAGGAAAACTATTTAACGACGCTGTAAGCGTAACTGCGTGTGTCTACTGACCTGCTTTAATGATTCTTGAAAAAGCATCGGTAATAACAGGCATCGAACTCAACCCAAAGTTAAGTTCCTCTCTCCCGTTCTTTTTGACGTGACTGCATATATCAGAGAAGCTCATATTTTTATAGGGTGTTTTTTGGAAGGATAATTCCCAGATTAGCATGCCAAAACTATGGAAAACAACTGGTATTAAAAATTTTTTTTACACACGCAAATGCATGTATTTTTTTCTTAATAAAAAAAATTACCTGAACACTTCGCAAGCGAACGAATATTTTACTTTTTTATCTGGGTTAAGCTTTTCCGGTGCTAACCATTTAACAAAATCGGAAATATCGTTTATCTGACGGGATTCCTGATTAGTTTTACGACTTTGGTGAAAGTTCGCAATTTTTGCTTTGTACCCTTCATCTTCAACGACCTGTATTATCATGACTCATTAGCTCATGCAAACTAAACATTGTCGCGGTGTAGGTTACGTACCAAAATGTTTTCACAACGTATATCGTGGTGATAAACTCCGCATGCTTGTAGAAACACCAGACCGTCGCATATATCGTGGACAATATTTAACTTCGTCAGCCAATTCATACTATGGTCTTTTTCATAGAGCTCTTTGAGATTTCCATATTGGGCCCATTCCATAACCATAATGTCCTCTCCATCCGCACGTGTAAGGCCATAAAATTTTATAATCCTCGGAGATGCCTGTAACTGATTCAATATGGCCAATTGTACCTTATTAAACCTTCGTGTGCTCTCCATGTCATTTAGAATATCGACGCGTTTAAGTGCCACCGGTATGGTTTTATAAAATTTCTTATAAACCCTCCCTCTGACTTCCAGTGAGTTTTTCCGACCCGGTTCGCCGATATCGCAAACTTTAATAAACGGCACATTGGCATTTATATTTTCTCCCTTACTGGCTCTCTTAATCATCTGATATACTTGCTCATAGATCAAATCGATTTTTCCTTCCTGCATCTGAATCATTTTCTCGAGTTTCTTTATTTTTAAAACAATCAATGTTAAAAAACATACCAT